ATGGTGGTTTTAAAGCCTTCTTTTTTTTTTTTACAATAATGCTCACTCCGCAGCTCGCTCACAAAGCTGGCAGGCGGGTAGGTCCGAGCTCTCGATTGAGTCAATGAGACCATTATGTCTCTCCCGCTGCAGCCAAACCAATAACCTGCTGAAGTGAAGGCCAGAAAAAACCCACAGTGCTTATAGGCCTATAAGAAAAGCAGAGGAGAAACATAAAATCCTGTTTAAGTACAGCAGCAGCAGCAGCAGCACTTGGACAAGGAGAATACTTAGACGGACACACCTTTCATTTGGACACAACCATCGCGAAGAGGTGGCTAAATTTATTCCCACTCTTGTTGAGTTTTTGGATTGTGTGGGTTGGTCAAAAATGGTGATGTGGACAAAGTAAAAGAGGGAGATGTTCTGGGGAATCTGAGTACTGGCCTCTACCCAACAGATCAGTCAACATACACATGAGTAGAAGCGAAGTCTAGTTGGGTTGCCAGGTCTTATGGTCACATCGAGGTTGAGGGAGACCCGTTTGACTGATGTCTACATGAAATAAGGAGATGATTGATGGAAATTACAAGTCGGGAGTAAAACTGTGAGCGCTGGCAGAGCTACCATCCAAGTGTGGTTCCTCACTTGGCCTCTCAAAACTGGCTTCACAGTTGATCCCCATTAGGCCCAACTTTAAAATCACCCAAAATAAAGCAGAAATGAGTTTCTTACAGCCTGTTAAAAATGGTTTTGTCTTTTTGGCTTATTTCTCTTAGTTTAATGTATTATAACTTATCCATTTAACTTAGAATTGCCTGGTTTTTGAGGGTTGTATGAGGTACTTGTCAGTCGTAGGCGTTTTGGCCACAGAGGATCCTGGTCAGTTGATTACAAGTTGATAATGACGAGCCAGAATTAGGTAGGGTGACGTGAAGAAGAAGCACAATGAGCCGCGGTGAGGTATGGCTGTGATTGACCAGCTTTAGCCAACCCTACTGTGTTGCCAGATGTTCGAAACAGCTGACAGGATAGAAAACATTCCCCACCAATGTCACACCAGTCTTACTCACTATTTGGATCAATTTAGCATCTCTATAAGCGTGGAAAGCACCACTTTATCTACGCCACAGGTTCTTAGATTACAATGACACAGAGAAGATACAGATGATTTATAGAGGGGACGAACAGCAGGTTATAGTGTTTGGTTTTTGGACTGTAAATCCAGGATTTAAGTCAGTTTTGTTCTTATACTTCACTGATAAACAGCAGAAACATGGAGGATTAATTACCCTCCACTCTGCAGCTCATACTCGTGATCTCAGCTCTGTCCGTGTGTGTGACTGTTTGTTTGTTTTTGTGTGAGAGAGACAAAAGACGAGACAGAGAGAGAAAGAGAGTGACGACAGTGTCTTAATACTTTGTTTTAAAGGTGTTTGTGTCAGAAAAGTCAGCCTTTAATATTGAACATTTGCACTTTTGAGTCTTGTTTAACGTGACACCAACTATCAACTTTCTCAGGAGACAGAAATTTAACCTACTGGAGGTGTTGGACCTACATTTCTACATCTAAAGCTTCACAACTAGCCAAGCTGACATGAAAAGAGAACAGCAGCGTGTTTGTTTTCCAGCAAAGTGACGAGTTTAGAGAGTTTAATTGTCTGTGGCTGAAGCACGTGGAGGAATCTGATAGATTTACTGCTTCAAACATTCCTGTTGTTACGCAAAATTAAGCTGTTTTGGGTTAGCAGAAAGATACTGATCAGGTTTTCTTGTGCATGTTTGATAAATAAATCCAGATAACTTCCATATATTATCTATCTGACTCGTGCACTCCAAAGACTGTACAAAACACACGCTCTCTGCACAATGGTAAGCCCCAGGGTGAAGAGGAGACAATCTCAGGTAGATAGTGTGTCCTTTTCCTTCGCCTCTACATTCATTACATCTATAACCAGGTCATAACCTAGTTGATGTCTTTATGAAATCATCTGCTCCACTGCAGGGCGAGTTCATGTGAAGAGTATAGAGTGGCAGGGTGTGGAGATCTGTCCTCACTCCGGGACTCCAACCTGAACACGGGCAGGTTAACTCTTTTTCTAAGGGTCTATGTAATTACAGAACAGCGTGGTGTATAATTTGAGTCATCTGAAAAAGAGTGAATGAAGAGTACAGGAGGGCATAGTGTTACTGTACTGTGGGAAAGAAGTGTGCTTTGAAGCTGCAGTTTTCTTCTCCGCCAGCAGGGGGCAGTAGAATAGTTCCCACAGGATTTCTGGGGCCTCACTGTCAGGATGCAGGTCACACTTTTGCTATCTCCCCTGTTTCCTTCTTTTCTCTCCTCTATCTTTGCTTTTCTTTCTTTTTTTCTTTCATTTTGCATCTCTCTCTCTCCACTCTCCTCTGCTTTCATTCTCATATCTTACTCATGAGTTATTTCCAGTACAAACGCCCCCGCTTTTTAACCATGTTGCTGTACTTATAAACCACGGTTTTGCAGGCCCACTCACTCGTGCGAGATGTGAGGTCGGCATGTTTCGGAGGCGGGATGGAAGATTTGTTGAGTACTGTAGGTAGGAAGGTGGGAGGGATAAATCACACGAGGAGGTGAAAGAAGCACCAAAGAGAAGAGGATATGCTGTGTGCGGTGGGAGTGAGTGCAGACTGTAGGTGAAGCAAGGTGGTCTGAGCATTGTGTTGACTTTGAAACACAAGATCACATGCTGAGGGGAGCGTCCACGACCAAACGTCTGGCCAAAGCTGTCGTTTTTCTCTCCCTGGGAGCTGCTGCGGTTTAGGGCAGCTGAAAAAGTGTGATGGGGGAGGAATTTGTCTGCGTTCAGTTGTGGTCATTTACGAGGAGAAGGGTGTGAGTGTTAGTGGGTCTTTGTGTGTATGAGCCTGTTGTTGTGTAATGTGCCATTAAACCCTGAGATTTGGTGTCAGCACTATAGTGGACGAAGTACAGCGATCTTTTACTGTTGTGCCAGCGAAACGACGTTTAAAAAATACTTTCTCATTACAAGTGAAAGTCCTGCATTCCTTAATCCTGTTTAAGTCAAAGTACAGAGGGGTTATTAGCTGAATGTTCTTAAAGTTTCAAAGTAAAAGTCCATATTTCAAAGTAAAACCAACCCTGTCACTGTTATGTAATGTGCTTCATCTAAAGATTGGTTTGAACACTGATAGAATCATATGAAAGCAGCATTTTCTGCTGGGTTCAAGTGGACCTCATAAGTCTCGTTTCAAACCTGAGGCTTGAGGCACTCTAAAAGGTCGCAAGATACATCTAAGGGGTCGCTATGTTGTTTATACGATATGAAGATTTTACTGCACTTGCTTGTTTCCTGTTTTTTAACCTTTGAACCTGGGAAATACTGGTTCATTTCAAGAGGTAGTGATCATATAAAGTGGAAATTTCCAGAAGTAGGTAAACAATAACTCGTTTTCTAACTTATAGGGAAGTAGATTTGCTCTGGTTGTCAGTCTATTTTGAGTCTTAACTAGTTTGGTTATAAAGTTGTTGGTTTGGATTGAATAGGCCTGACCAGAAATCTGAAAGAATGACAATATGTCCAAATTAGACACAGCTGATTTTGTCTAAAGTGAAAGAGAAAACAAACAACCGGTTTATTTTTAATCATTGTCGATGTTTTGGTTCCTACTTTACTTGGCAGTACATAGAGGGCCTATAAGATGTTGGCCGACAGAGGTGGGTGCAGTAGATACAAAACTTTAACTCTAAATATGAGCAAGCTAACGACAACCCCGCAAAGAAAAGTCATGCTTAAGTTGTTTGTGATCCATCTTCCCATATAAGTCAGGATCTCCTCTCATAGGTGATACTCCTGGTGATGGGAATTCAGGCAGTTTTTCGTGATTCAGTTCATTTGGCTCAGTAAGAACCAACTCTTCTGCACTTAACGACACCTTTTTTTTCCAAGGTAGAACAAAGACTTCACCGGCTAATGGCGTATTTGGACTGTACGCTGAGTTTCCACTACTTTGCAACTCTCCCCTGTACGATCTGGTTGCTTCTCACATTCACAGACTGATAAAAACATTAGCGACGGTGCAAGTTTTACCACAGGCTTGCGGACTTCTGAAGTTAGTCCAGCGAGTTGGCTTCGTTTGGTGGCCAAGTGGCTGAATGAAGATAGAAAGATGAAAAAGACATTAATGCACGCTCGGGAGTTCTCCACAGTGGGAAACAGATTTAAAATAATGAGTGTTAAGGGAGAGTCAACCTCTTCGTTGTCTATTTGTGAATCAAAAATGAATAATGAGTAAATAGGGTTAATATGTGGTCATCTTTGCTTAAGAGCACCAAAGAGTTAAACCGACAATATCTGTAGGGGCAGATTAAATAAAAGTTGTCAGGATAATCTCAAGAAAAACAAACACAATGTCCATCTCTAGTATAAAGTACAGTGTTTCCATCAAAGGTATATTATAATAGAGTGGTAAAAGCAGTTGTATCAAACAAAAATAACTCTGATTCACAGCGCTGGAGTGAATCTCCTTTCTGTTTGTGAAGTTAGTGTAGGCGTGTACCAGGACCGGAGAGGTTTGGAGGGTAATTGCTCAAACGCGAGTGGTCTTGTGTTTGTGTCTGGGTGAGTGGGTGGGTGTGGGTGTTTTTTTTTTTTTTGAAGGGGGGGGTATTGCATCCATTCCCCGCTGGATGGTGAAAAGTGCAGCGCAGCAGAAATGCATTCCAAGGTGGGGGGAGAGCTGCATGGGTTCCACGACTATCAGGTTCTTTGGCTGGGCTGCGGGTTTGGCTCCACGGAGGCTTAATGGCAGGAAAAGAGGGGAGAGTGTATAGATGATTAGTAGTGAAGGGGCCAAAACCAGAGAAAAATGTTTTAGCCCCAACCTTTTATTGTTTATAGATAAAACGCTCTGCCAGAGTCGTTAAAAGGCGAGGGAAAGGAGAGAAAAATCACAGCCTTGGACCATTAAAAACAAAAACCGATTCACTTTAGGAAGAAAAAGCTGCTTGTTATGCGATGTTTACTGTGTCTTTGCATGCTGATATGTGTATGTGTGTGTGTGTGTATATATGTGTGTGTGTCATGTGTAGTTCAGAGGAGCCTGCAGCAGACCCTGCAGCCCCGCTGACTGCTAATGAACTTGGATCGGCGTCCGTGAGCGTTGGGGCTGAAAGGGCTCTTTCTCCGTCCACTCAGCTGTCACTTGCTGACCTACAGCTCTCTGATTATGTCACTGTCGCTTAAAAGGCTCCGCATTCATCCATCATTAGGCTGCAAGTCTGGACGCCCCAATCAAATACCCTATTAAAACCTTTTACTGGTCTCTTTCAGTGTGTTGGCTGATTGCAGCTGCTGCTTCTGAACCGGGAAAACAAGAGAGCCAAAATAAGTCTGTTTTTATCTCCGATTCCCTCAGCCCTAAAGGTGACAAAGAGATTTATACAACAAGTAATTTATCGTCATTAAACTGAAAGAGCTTCATTAAATTTTAAATCCTCAAACAACCAACTAAAGAGCAAAAATCAGCACCGAGTAGCTCACATGGTAAGATACTTTGCTGACGTTCTATTCCAGCGAAAAATGTTGTCTCTTTTTACTTCAGCATCAGCGTGTTTCCTTGTTTTGATTCAGTTTGGTATGCTGTCTGATCTTACTTGAATTTCCACAACCAACTGCATCCTGGTGCTTTACACAGGAAGTATGTTGTCTGCAGTTCGTATTATTAGTGTGAGCAGCACATCAAAATGGGATAAAAACATGTCTGTTCTCCTTTTTGAGCCACGAGGGGATCTCAGATGAAATATGCAGAAGTGTGAATAATAATATCGTATAAAAACACTTCTGGAGTGCTTTTGAAAGTTAAAACTAATTCAGTTTCTAACTAAGGAGAGACCACACTTATTTTTACTCAATGCTTTTATTTTGAAGTCGTGTCCAGGACAGTTATTTAATAACAGAAATGCTTGTACAGCTCTTTGTTGAGCCCACAGTAAACAAAGGTTGCCATGAAAGCATGTCATTGGCAGCAGGACAGCTGTTTTCATGATTTAGGTGAAAACTCGGCAAAATGTGCTCCTTCAGGTACTGTTCATCTGTTTCTGGTCAGTCTCAGTTTCTCTGTAAATAGGAAGTTAATTCTCAAACAAGATACCCTTCATAAAAACGTCCTTTTCTTTTCCTGATGCAGTTTTGGCAGCATCTTTTCAGCTGCTCTGGACTGATTTTGATGTAGCATTTCTAAAACATCGATGTCCTGCCATAATCACGCTTAAAAATTACAAATTCGCGAAGCGCTATTCTTGAAAAAATGGAGTTCTGATCTCCTGACACAGTGGACTTCCGGGATATATAACTCTGATACGAAAACATTGTCTAAACACAAATGATGCCCCTGTTATGTCGCAATAGCACAACAATAATCAATAGCTCTACTGTTATACATTAGAGACCCCCAAAACACCGAACACACCAAGGGACTCTTCATACTACAACAGCTGTTTTAGGAAAATGCGCCTTTTTATAATTTTGGCGAATTTGTATTGTTAAGAATCATTAATATCTTCCAATATTAATCAATAGCTCCACTGTCATATAGTGCCCCCCCCCCCCCAATTTTTCTCTGCTTCAAGCCCTTCACTTGATTACCACCACAGGGAGCTGACACGTCGTTATTAAAGATCAAGCTCTGCCTGTTTTTGCTCTCCTTACTGTTTTTCCTCAAAAGCCTGCTGATGTGGGACTCAAACTATAAGTTCAGCACAAATGAAAACCAGAAAAGTCCCCGCTCTTAAAGGCCAACCACGTGTTTGTTTAGTTATTAGTAAGACGAGCATTTTACTTTGTTGTTTCAGTTCTCCTTCTTTAAACATGTAAACAATACGTGCTGTATATGTTTGCCTTTTCCTGGATCTGGAGGAATCCATTCAGCAACGGTCACCAGCAGCAACGGGCCTTCGGATGAGAAGAAGGAGGGGCCTGGTGTCCACCCATCCCTGCCTCCCCCTCTCTCCATCTTTCCCTCTCTGTGCCACCCCCCCACCCCCACCTCCCCCTCACATGGGCTTTGCCTTTGGCTGAACGCTGGGATTCTTTCACAGAGGCTGCCGGTTGCCAGGAGAGATGGAGCCCCAGAAAAAGCTGGGCAAATGTATGTGGGTCACTGCGAGTCAGAAGGGGGCTTTTCATTCTCCTCTTCCCTCCTTTTTTTTTCTCCTCCTTTTTTTTGCTCCTTTGTTCTTTTTTTCGGGCTCTTTGGCTCGCTCCTTCTCCCCCTCATGAGTGAAAAGATAACATTGATCTGTGTCGGCCCCACTTATTATTTTCCCGGGCGAGCTGCTAAGACAAGGCCCAATAAGATAGGGAGCTGTGTCCTATTGACTTATTAACTTCTCCCTGGGAGCGCACACATCTCCGAGCTTTTCTTTCTGTGTGTGTGTGTGTGTCTGTGTGTGTGTGTTTGGCGTGTGTTTCTGACCCATGCACAAACAAAACAATCCATGAGAAGGGGACGGACTCCGCTTTAAAAAGGATCTGCAGCAGATGTTTCGTTGGCCTCAGTCTCACTTCCTTTCACCAGCCCTCCACTTCTTCTTTCCCTTCCTCTTTTTCTCTCTGATGGATGCTGAGCGGTTCGTGCTGGTTTTGTAAAAGCCCGTCGGTTTGGCCGGCTGCACAGACGCGGGAAAAAGTAATCCAGGCTTTTGACACTGCGTGGACGACTCAGGAGAGACGGCTTATATGTTTGTCTCTGCCGGCCGTATGCGCCGCCTTTCAAATCTGTTTACCTCTATATTAGTTATCGCCAGAAAAATCAAGAAACAGTCTTCACACGGAGCAACATTTAGCCCTGAAACGCTCCTCGGTGTCACTTCAACCAAACCTTTGAAGTTTATCTGTGGTCACATCTACAGGAGTTTCATGTTCAGGGGGATTTTTTTTGTTTTTTTATTTAACATGTGTCATCTCCTTTTGCGGCAGTGAAAGTGAGTGCTCACCTCAGAGCTTTACTGTTTCACCCTCTTTTTGTGCGATTTTGCTTCCCAAGGCGGAGGGAGACTTTGTCAATAGGAGTATAACGTCTAGATATCCCAGATATCCACATCAGAGCGCTCCCTATTATTTCATTAGATTGATATCAGGTTGTCTGACACCGCCCTCTTTCTCCCCCCTTCACCCTTCTGCGACAGAGTTTCTCATTTCAGCAAAGACAATGGCCTGTCTATCCTGCTGTACTAAGTAAATGTCAGGTACTGTCTACCCTCCGCCTCATCTATTCACTGGAAAGCTCCAGGGGCTGAAGGCTAGATATCCATCTACCAGGGTCTGTATACATGTGTGCTACATGGTACCACTCCAGTCAAGGTGCTGTATCCAGTTACCCGGCGTGTATATAGTTTACATCAACCTCGAACAAGCTGGAGGACAGATTTCAGGCATCTTTATTAGATTTTCTCTGAGAGTTTTTCAGCTTGTGTTCGCTAAATAAGCAGGACGACAGCCAGGGAGTTTTGGAGCCTCTTCACAGGGTCAGAGTTTGATTTTATTATCGGTTCCTAATCAGACAAATCCCTTATTCAAACCCCTGTACCTGTGTCTTTGTCTATTACAAAGATTATTCCGTTTCAGTCTGCTCGGGACTGTTTTCCCCCTTTTGTTCCACTTTGACTCAGCTGACACAGAACCACAATGACCACAAACCATCAATCTGGATAAGCTTTTACTTTCACATCCTGCCATTTTTAGTCATACCAAACATTGGTGCTAAGGCCTCTCTCTCTGTTTTGGGCTGTTTATTGAGTTGTTGGCGTCCAAAATAAAAACTGAAAGACGATTCTCGCCTCACATCAGTTCTGTTTTTTCAGGATGAAACAAAAGACGACTTTAAACCTGAGGGCCTCATTTGCACTTTTCCACGTTTTTCTGTTAGTGAGTTTAGCAAAAGTCCAGGAAGGTCACCAAATGAAGCGCAAACCACCGTACATCAGATGATCCTGGCACCAGCCTGTATCAGCTGACAGTTGATGATCTCCTACTCATCCACTTGGCAAATACCAGCATGGTCTATTCTATTTAAACTACCATTAGCCTGCCTACACTTCCTTCTTCCTCCTTAAACCACTTTGCAACTTCAGCTCCTCTTTTTTTGTGCTGTGTCTGATTTTTTTTTTCAACCAGTGTCGCTGATACCTGCTCTGTGACCCCCAACTTCCACTGCATCCATAACGGCTGTGAAAAGGCCGACGCGCCGATCACTGCTGATTGTAACCACTCCAGTTAAAGTGTCAATTTCCACCGGCTTCTTTCCGTCCTGATACGGTTCAGCCGACTCTGCAGCCGATCACCAGAGTTCTATTTTTTCTGGATGCCACAGCATGCCGCGTAAATTCAGCACAGATTAACCCGTGCTGGAAAGGAAGTCGGGCACAGGCACAGCGTCTTTTCAAAATAAAACACTCCATGTTTCATGCTGATTCTTGAAGTCTGGAAGTGGATTTTCTCCTCTGGAAGGACATAATCTACTGCTTATATGCTTATATGGTTATGTGGCTGTCTTTACAGAGACAACTCGTTATCGTGTGATTGCATGTGAATCCGCGGGTTCTTGTGAGTTCTTGCTATTCCCACTGTACGAAATCCGCCATGAACTTCTTGGATGGCAAAAATCGCTGCCGTTCCGTTGCTGAGCCATTCCAGATGCGGTTGAAATTGGGGATGAGTCTTTGCTGCTGCTCTCCCCGCCTCGTCATATCATGTTATTTTATAAAAAAGGAATGAGAGATGTGCTATCGCGTGTAAATAATCCATCTTTTTGGCGACGATAGGAGATAGACGTAAAATTGATGTATGGTCCATAACAAATCAAACGTTATCTGTTTTGGCTCCTCTCTGTGAACTCAGTGAACTCTTGGAACAGTTGCTTTGTGTAAAATAAAGGAGGGTAAAGATTTGATCCTCTTTGTACTCCCAGGTACTCACAGTGGGGGAGTCGGTCCTGGCCGGGAAAGAAAAACTCCCCGCCATAATCTTCCTCCCCTCTGCTTTTCCAGAAAGGTCAGCTGAATGAAAGTAACGTGGCTCTCTCGCGCAGATCAGGGGGTTGTCCTCTTGGAGGGACTGACGGCATGTGTTATGTTATATCATTAGGATAATAATTCCTCCGATATAAGACACCTCTGGCAGTCTTCAGCCCTTTCATATCCCCTCTCTTTGCCGTGGACATCTGGCAGACATACGCCTCGAGCTCATGGCGGAGGGAGGATGTGGGGGCAGGGATCGATTCCATAACTCTCTGTACTGTTGACTGAAGCGCAGAAATATCACTCTTTCAGGTGTGAGAGTTTATTTTTTTTGTTTGGCTCTAATAAACCATCTCTAAGCCAGAATCTATTTCCACTCTAACACTACACTTATATTGCTTTTCCTTTCTCAAAGTCTCCTGATCCCCCTGATGTGACAGTTTTGATTCTCACTCACCGCCTGGCGAGTTTCCACCAGATATTTCTAGTGTTGATGACAACAACATGTGTGAACACTGGGTCATCATGTGTGTTGTGACTTATTTGTTTATAAAATCCTCTGAAGCTTAATTGCTATCAGACATTATTTGAGGCCTGTTCATAATATCTGCAGAGACAAAAAAGAGGGGTGGATTATAAAAGAGAGACTCCTCAATGATTTATAAGATGATATAGATGTTTTTTTGGACCCACCAGGAGGAAACTTCTGCAGCCACATCACACACAGAATGTGGAACATTAAAAAAAAGATGTAGTTAATATAGACATGCTTATATCCACAGCTATAGGAAAACCAGAATCAGCCGTATATTATCACAGTTTAGCATTATCTTAACCTCCCTCTCCTCATCCCTCTGTGGCCCGAGCAGGAAGCTCGTCCACCTCCAGTCGAGCTTCATTCACCTCCTCGTTTATTTTCTTTCCACTGCGCGTGTCCAGCCAGAGCTTTGCAAATGACCTAGTTTTTGTCTCAATAGGGATCGTTGTGCCAAACGTTCCCAATGCCAGACAGGTCCGAGGACAGGCGATGCCAGATAGCGTGAGAGAGGAGAATCCCCCTTCAGTGTTGGACCCGAGTATTCAGGGTCCTTTATACTTATACATAAAAGTACAAAAACCACACTGTAAAAGTGCAGCCCTGCAATGAAAGGTTTTAGTGAAGCCGTGTCGGTGTGATGAGGGAAATATCAGTCTGAGTGTTAAAGGAATATGAATGTTTTACTGTAACACTGTCATGTTTGAAGCTGAAGTAAGTTGAGGTACTTAAGTCTGCTGCGAATAATACTCATAACGAAAAAACAGATGATTATTTTCTTTTTTTAGCAGTTAATGTTGGTCACAATATTCTCACAAATCCAGAGGTAAACCTGCTGTGAGGAGTTTGTATTTGGTTATGAAACGAACTGAAATTGATAGTACTGCCCCTAGTTATCTTATGAAAGCAAACCAGACCATCCATCAAGAAGATGATTCATTATTTCTTTTTATTTCTAGTGCCTGTCACTGGGTCAGTGTCAGACAAGTTGCTGCACATTTCAGAAAACATCCTCTTTCTCTGTAAAAGTCTCACAATGAATGATTTCACTGGAAAAGACAGACGGTTTCCCACAGGGCTGTCGAATGACACCGAGAAGTCAGAGTCTGAGTTGCCTCCCATCCCGATGAAGTGACGGCGCCTAAAAGGACAAGAAGCTCCTGTGATTCATGATAATGATAATAATGATGATCCTGGAAGTTTTTACCAGCTAAGATAAAACAATAAGAACTTTATTGATCCCCAAAGGAAAATTCATGCATAACGACAGAGTATGATAGATTTAGCAGTTTGATGTTAAAGGATCATCAGCAACCAGAGTCCTGACTGTCAAAACTGAAATCTGATGAAGTCTCTTTCAGTCCGCCGTTTCCTAGCGTGACAATACATGTCAGGCGATGGGAGTCAACCATTGCTAGCTGCTTTGCTTCCTGGTACATCCATTGCAGAGGAAGTTTCTTATCAAGTTTCCCCTTTTTTTATCGAACATGCCGTCATAAACATCGAAAATATTCGATATATGATTTGCAGTCAGCTCCAATCCTCTATGCAAGTAAAAGGAAGAAAAATCACTCTTAACACACCTCACACCACAGGATAATCTTGCAAGATCATCTTTGAAACAATCTGGTTATCTAGTCTAGGAATTGGGCTGATCCGATCAGAATTAATGGATCGGAATTTTCTGATGAAGCCTGCGAAAATTTCCAATCCTGAAGTCGTGCCTTTGCTTTAACTCGTTCTGCTGAAATGACTGTAGGAGTGATTCTTGCCAGTCAGTCTGCTAGCTGGATGCAAACTGCATAATGGATTTCATGAACAGAGGTGTGTCTCAATGGGACATAGAGATGAGACACACCTCCGTTCAGGAAATACATATACTTGCCTGTAGAGAGGAGTTTATTATAGTCTAATATAAAATAAACAATAATGATAATAATGATGGTAAAGCTAACAGAGTGCTGGTATCGGAATAGTATCTGTATCGGCAGGTATCCGGTATTTAGGTAGAGAGATTGGATTAGATATGAAAAATGTGGATCAGTGAATCCCTAATCGAGTCTTTCCTGACTTTAATTTGGAGATTTGAGTCAGGCCCAGAATCGGCTGTGAACCCAGCCTCGGTTTGATTCCTGAAAGTTGTTGGTGACAATGGACACAACTCAACACAATATTTGTACATATTTGCACATTTGTTTGTAGAAACTTTGAATTATACTATTACACATTCTCCAAACATGGTGTCAGTCCACCCGTGGAGTTTTGGCACCTCGCTCTGAAGCTCTGAGCTGATCTGAAAATGCTCCCCTAGTGTATAGAAAACCGGTGTTTGTATTTGCGTCTGCCTGCCATAACCAGCGGGCTGTATTGTAAACCGGCTCTCCATGCTCTGTTTCTTGTTCTTTGTTAGTGAAATTAGAAATTTATGGTGCACAGAAATTGAGGGTGGGAAAACAAGATCCGCCGCAGATCATAGAGGGGTCTATTTTGGGTCGTTTGGTATTTTAATGTTGCCGCTCTCATCAGTAATGTTCAGTCGACTGCTCTGGGCTTTAATGCTGGTGGTTCACAGCAAGCTACCTCATGGAAAATGTGCATCATTACCACACTTGGCCTGGCATGCAACAAACAGGCCGGCAGACAAGCATACACAGTCATGCACACACACACAAAAACACGCACACACAGTCAGCAAAGCCAGACATAACATAAGGTAACTTTGTTCAGTGCTAGCATACAATTTTTCAAATGTCTGATCCATCACTTCCTGTTCCAGTAAGGGTGGAGGCCATGGGAGGTGTGCGGAGTGAGGTGGGGGGGGGGCGTTTTTCTGGGCAGCGCCGTCTAATGAGCAACTCTTTCAGCGAACCAGACAGTTTATGGGGTGGCTGCCAGCCTCATTAAGAGCAGCTCTTAATTGCCCTTTTCTAGCCAAACCCAAAAACTGAAACATCTGCTGGCCCGTGAACCCCATTCCTCCTCCCCCGGTGCCCTCTTCTGCCCTTCATTCTCCACCCTGGCACTTGTTTAGCCCCAACCTCCATCACCACTAAGTGACTAACTTTCATAACAACAGCATCCAGGCAGCAGACTCTGTAAGTGCTGAGCGGTACATCAACCGTCATACATTTTGCGGTGTGGACCATATGCAGTCTTTTAGCACTTTTTAATAAGTCATTAGGAGTCTGAGGGTACGTTTTGGTCGAACTGAAAAGTTGATAAATTGAATGAAAACAGCACGGTGGAGGAGATTATTGCCCAGTAAAAACACCATTGTTTGGAATTTGTAACTGTAATGTGACAGAAGGATAATAAGTTCATATGTAATTGGTGGTCCTAAAGGGGACTGCTCACAGTTTTGAGTCAGTTATGTTCACATACGGTGAGTGGCACATTTATCAAGTACATCTGAAGGTACTTGTGCTCTAAAGGATGAAGAAACTCCATCCTATAATAGCTTGTTCACAATGTTTACCTCCAGTTACCTCGAAAGTCTGATGTCAGAGCTGGGAATGACGCTACACCCGAGTTGACGGCATTTCAGTGAACAAGTCGGAAAACCAAGATGGACGCCTACAGTTACCCATTGTTAGATGTTGTTGGAATTGTCATCTGTCGTTAGCAGTTGTCGGTAGTTGTTAGTTGTTGTGAGCTATACCAGTTGTAAACAACACACAACACAGTATTTTACTCTACAAAAACCATAGCACCGTGTTCACTCTTTACTGTTGATACACTGTACTGCCATCTTGGATTATGTCGTTGTCGTTAAGTGAGGATTGTCTGACATTCTGAGTCGGAAATCCGATTTCAGGGGGGCGTTCCAGATAAACTTCCGACTAGGGGCTCGGAAATCCCGACTTCCAAGTACAACTGGACCCCAGCATAAGCTTCACTGATGTTGGTCAAATCATCCTGGAAGCTATTTCCAAAATGTAAAATAAATAGAAAAGAAAGAAAAAACATGTTGGAGAAAGGCAGAGAAGGGTGAAAAGCCTGCTAGGGATGGAGCCCACTCCACCAAGTTAGGCTGTACGCTCTACCTCCCCCAGTTTGATGAGTAAGAACAGAGAGGGAAAACTCAAAGAAAAGGGAGGTGTTGGAAGAAGCGACAGGAAGAGCTTGTCTCTCCCTTCCAATCTGGGGTGTATGCTCTACCTCCCCTACTCCCCTGTTTCAATAAGGGTAAAAACTGAGAGAAGAGTTTGGGCTGTACGCTCTACCTTCCCTAACTGTCCAGTTTTTATGAATGAAAAAGGAGAAAGAGAAAAACTGAGATGTTAAAATGAAGACAAGGAAGGAAGAATGAGCCTGATTATGCAGAGGTCACCCCACTTGTGAGGCTGTATGCTCAACCAACCCCCTCTTTAGTTTTAATTGGACAAGAAATGAGGTGAACAGTTTGATCTTTCGTTGATTTAGTCCCCTTATATAGTTTTAACTATCTTTTTCAAACTTTCCCTCACATCCCCCACTTCCTGTTTACTGCCAAAGGACCAAAGCACTCAAAGGACCTCCTAACCGTTTTTTGATATAAATAGACAACCCTCTCCAGCTTGTCCATCTATACTGTCTTTCTCCTCAGTAACAATCTTCAATCTTATGCAGTCATATGACAGATAAATCGATGTATAACTCAATGAATGAAAGTGATCGCAGTAAACTAAACTTTACAGGCCTGTTAAAAGTTGAGTATACGGCAGAGTCATTATTTTCGATTGCATAAGAAGGCGTATCTCGTAAAACAGTCACTTTTTATTCACCCAAATATTGTTTATCCTACCAATACATAAGCAGAGCAGCTTTCAATCGCCTCATTCCCCATTGTGTTTTGTCACTTAGACTGACATTAATTATTGTTTCACCTGCATGCTTTGTAGAAATGTGGTTACTTTTATTTAGCCTGGGTTATGTAAGAAGCTGATGAAATGGAAACTCTTAATGGGTAATGCTAGAAAGATGTCTGTTGGACTCCTTGGTTATCTAGTGACTCATTCTTTTATGACTGAGAGACTATCACTCAAGTATGTAGTTGTACTTGGCTAAACTCATTTTTTAGCACCTTTTAGCTCTTTGTTTTTGTTTTACAACCTGAACTTCATCATAATGTCATCTCATCTAGCTGTGATTTTAAAGCTGCGTTTGTTTTCATCAAAATGGCTCGAATTATAAGATGATTTAGGGCATCAAGCAGCTCAAGAGAAACAAATTCAGACGAAAACAGAATCAAAAGATTTTGAGTATTGGACTGATATTCTAAAGCTGGGTGATAAACCAAAAATTTACTGATATCAAAATTTACAACAATAACCGACGTCATTTTGCCCATATCGGTATATTCAAGTTGGTTTTGAATGTCTGTAGGTAGGCTATGATCTCATGTCCCTTTAAGACGCTGTCCTACATCAGAGACATGACTCCACGTAGTGGCCGGAGCGGTGGCTGAAGTAGACAAGGTCAATGTGGGAGGGGGTGAACAGCTTGTGGAGTAATTGTCCATTTATTGTTATTGAATTGAACTGCTAAATATATCGTGATATTGATTTGAGGCCATATCGCCCAGCCCTACGACCAACAATGAAAGCTAGTGTTGCGACACTTACATGATGTACAAGTAAGAAGCTTCTTTTTTGCACTAAAATGGTTAAAAACTCTGTCAGTGTGGGGCTCAGACTCTGTCAGTCATCTATCGTCATGTATCAGTCGCGCACATATGCTCCGACTCTTTAATGTTTAGTTTGATGGAGAGAACAGACTGTACTCAGCGAGAAAGTGATACCAGTCGCGCTAATAAGAATAAAATATGGCAAAGTGCTTCTGTCAATTAGAGAGACTGAGAGCACACAGGTGACCTGTAAATGAATCTTGTGTGAAAAGTGGGGGAAGACACATTAAACTGGTTAAATACAAAGACTTGATTTGCTCAACAGTACCGTGAAATCAAGATCCCGATCAAAGCTGAGTCTTTTCACTCACACCTCCTTTAACTTTTATTTCGAAGGAAGCTGTGGGAGAGTGTTTTTTGTTTTTTTTATTTCTAAGGAAACTCGATAAGAGTCTGAGATACCAGAGTGACTACCAGAGGAGACTGATAAGACAAGCAGGTCCAGACAACTCCTCATTGTCCGGTGCCCAAGGTCAATAATTCCCAGTGTGTGACAGAAGCAGTGATAGTGAGTTAATGTGCTGTCGGAGTGGCCTTCCTTTCCTCTGGGTCAGATACAAAGACGAGGAGATCGGGGCATACCAGCAGATCAGAATCACTTACAGCTGAAAATGTCATACTTTAAATCATAGAGAATAAAACCACTTTGAGAATGAAGGAGGAAATTAGTATGATAATGAGAGCGATTGTTTAAAGTGCCTGCAGCTTTCCCCCCAAACTTTTCTATGATTTTTTCTGAGACCATGTCCATGTTTTACACGAGAAAAGACTCATGGTGGGTTTCGATCCTGATGAGTCTTAACCTCATAGTTAGATTAAAATAGGATGTTTTCTGATTTGTTTGTATGGATGGAAAAAAAATGGGCGCTACTCAGATTTTACCTCCCGGCGAAATTTTACAAGCCTCGAAGAACCATGAAGTAAGAAAACAAAACAAGTCTGTGATTAAAAAATAACACGCTCCTTGCAACACAACATCCAGGAACCTACCCTCATGTCCATCAGGTAAAACAAGTTAAACAAACACTTCGTAATAACTTTAATTATAGTTGTTAATTAATATAAGTAGCAATTAGCAATTAAAACGCTTGGTGAACACACCCACGCCTGTGTGTACCTGCACCTGTGTGCCAACGCCCAAGCCTCTCCCTCCAGGTGACTTTTTACAACCAAGGTTAACTGTGAACTCAAAGGTGTGTGACAAACTGCAGGTATACAGTAGTTGATTGTAACCAAAGAAAAGGTAATGAGCTTATAATGAGTCAGCCATCTATTTACAGTTTTTAAGTTTACATTGTAGTGTAATACATACCGAAAGTCACGTGTTGTTTGAAAAGGTTTCAGGTCAAACGGCGGCAACAATGCAATAGCGCCGCTTCAAGCTGCGTAAAGCTAGTTATGGGCCAATGTTAGCAAGAGAGACAATTTAAGCAGAGACAATTAAGCTTGTGCATTTATCAAACAAACTGTATGAGTCATTTATTTAACAAGGATTTGGTGTTCTCACCAAACATAACTCGAATAAACCTGCAAAGTATATCAACCGGCTCTTCATGCTTTGTTTTGTATGGAGGCTTTGGAAAAATTGCACCAAAACAGTCGACAAACAAGTTAGTAAGGGCAGCCTGACTTCCAAAAAAGAGGACACGAATATGTGGTGGCAGAGTCATGGAGTTAGTTAATTTTGAGAGTTTTTCAGGTTGGATTGAGTGTCTTTTACGCGCATCTAACTCAATAAGTCCATGTGACACAAACTCAAAACTTACATACAAAACCGCGGACATTTTTTTATGTAATATGTTCAAAAAATAAAAAAATAAAAAATATTCATAAACTTCCCTGGACAAAGACGGACAGACCGGACAGCCTCCCAAAAAGAGGACATCATTGTCGTCGTCATTTTCTTCCGCTTCATCCGGGTCTGGGTCGAGGGGGCAGCAGCTTCAGGAGGGAAGCCCACCCTACCTTTTTTGCTCCCTTTCTTCCTCTTCTGTTGAGGTTTTGTCTATAACCTTTGTGGAGCGGACTAAATGTTCTGCGCATACTTCACAGGTCGAAGATTGATGTTTAAAATGTAGAGCAAGTACAGAACACTTAAGCCAGTTTGGGCCTCAATGAAAGAGAAACTACAACTACATTATGTCTGTCCAAAGATGAGGAATTTGACTTAAAACAATTGAATCAAACTCAAAAGTCCAGTTTTAGTTGGATTAATGCCATTATTGGATTTTGACAGCATGTAAACTTAGTGACTCTTTGTATAAAACAAAATCCCAGTGAAACCTAAAAGAACAAAACAATACAACACCTCTGAAAAAAGAAATTTCCAAAGTATGCTGCATGTATGAAAACAAAAAGCAGAAGTTTCCCAACCGTAATATCTGGACTTTTTCCCATCATCCCCCCTGATAAAATTCCACCTGGGATCAAGCTGAGCCGACGTGAGAACTTAGCAGGTACTAACTGGGAAAATTTGTGTTATAGGAGCGGGAAGGCAGGTCGATGACATTTATATCATACCATGGGTGCAAACCCAGCGGAGTGGCATGTAACAGCAGGACTGAAAGCAGATGAGCTTGTAGGATAGAAGTCATTTCCGAGAATATGAGAACAGTAAAGATGTCTGCACATGCATGCATGAAAGCTTCATGTGTTCTTCTCAGTGGAGTTTGAGGTGGCTGCCAAAAGTTCGCTACAGGCAACGAGCCAGGATCAAATAAATAAATAAAAATTAAAATTTGTGACCTTCTTAGTTCAAATCAGATCTGAAAAAAGAAGTGGAAAAGTGACTAAGTGGATAAGCATTGGGGAAGTGAACCAGACAAATTGATCTCTGAATGTTTTGTTATGTTTCACATTTTTTCGTTTTTCTTTTTTTTTTTGGCTTTGGCTGACTGAACAAAATGTTACCAGAGGAAACACTGGACAAAAAAGTCTGTCCTTGAGACATCTTTTTTTTTGTGTGTGTGTGTCCAGTGGCTTTGTCCCAAACACAAGGAAAAGCTCACACAACCATTTGAAATCAGGGAATGTTCTTGTTTCAGTTACACTGGAAACACTTGAAGGCACCGCGGGATTTCTTTGTGTCCTTAAAGTAAGTACACAGTTTGACCTCCACGAGTGTTTTCTAGCACCGAAGTGAGAACAAGCGAAGGAACACTAAACATACAACCACGAACACGACTCTCCAGCCAAGCGACAGATTTGTTTGGAGGGCCTACATGTCACAACAGCTCGTCCTGATCCCCCCTCACAGCCATGTTGTGTTTGGGTGTGTTTCCCATTGATTACCTGGCCGGGAGAGACGAGACAGGAGGGAGGGGGTTGAAGCCGGTCTGTGAGAGCGTGTGCGGTGGAGGTTTTTTCTCAAATCTGGCAGGCTGTGGACAGCTGGACTGGGGGTTAGAGTTTCTCCTCACAGCGAGGCTGAAATTTCAACCCCTGAAAATCGTGGGTAATAAACGATTGGGGCTCTCAAAACAACCTCTCCGTGTGGTTTCTCTTGCCGCCCTTTTCTTATTTTTCCTGTCCCAGTTCCTTCGCCCCGGCCTCAGCTTTGGCTCTGACAGGCTCTGGTATGATAGCAAATGTGATTATGTCAAAATATTTTACTCCCAACATGGGGAAACGGTGAAAAAAAAAAAAAAAAACCCTCCACAGAGTCAGTATTTCGTTGAATCAGCAGGCTTCACAGCTGTTCTGGGCACAGCGTGGTTCACGTGGTTGGGATTATTCCTTGACCGCAGAAGCTGTGTTCTTCCTGATCTGAAATCGGCCATCAGGACGTGTTTTTCAGTCGCAAAGGGTTTTTTGAGGAAGTGAGAAGTGCTGATGAGACGGTTGTGCCGCAGCACTGGTGCAACTGGACTGAGTAACAACAGGATGAAGCAAGGCTCTGGCCTGGCCTCGGACATGACTGGGGAAGTTGGAACAAAGTGACAGCAAAAACACAGTCAGATGAGCTTCAACGTGAACACATCAGCAGAGTTTCATCGGCTTTCTCTTTCTGCATTTCGAGTTTGTTTTGCGTGTTTGGGTTGCTCTATAGCAACCTTTCAGACTTGGCAGGTTCTGCTTTCAACAGACTGTAAAGCGCTATAACTCCTCTATGATATAACCGCTACAGGAAACAGTATAGAGGACAACATGTACATACTGTATGTACTAACACTCCATGAACAGAGAGACATTTTAGCTTCATGGTTCTGAAAAGACGATGAAATTTAGTGATTTTTGAGCCTCATGTAAGATATCAGCTAATTTATATTATAAGATACTTTGATATTTATGTCAGGATGGACGTTGCATTGACATTGGGAGTAACAGTAAGTTACAGAACCTGCCGATAAAGCAACAGTTAGCGAGGTTGACCATGCGCCCTCTTTTACCCAGACATGGCCTCTTTTTTGGGGTCTTTCTGGCCTTGTCTGGGGGAGTTTTTAAAATCCTTCAAATGTCCGGGGTTTTGTATGGAAGTTTTGAGTTTGTGTCTTGTGGACTTGTGGAAATTAACCACTCACGACTCTGTGACTTTGTGACTCTGCCCCAGCGTAGTATTGTCCCCTTTTGAGGATTCATAACATGGTCACCCAAAATTAGCTCGCCATTCGAACATGTGCTAACTGCTTTTTTCTAGCTGGACTGACTCTAGTAGTCTCAAAAAGGGAAGGGTACACTTCAGTCTTTCCTAAGGAGTCCAAATCTGTCAACATTTACACTTTTTAATGCCTTTAAATGTCTTTAGCGTGTGTTATAAGTAAAAATGAAGGATGCAAAACCTTTGACCAGCTACATTAGCCCGGGATTTCCACCGCATCCGGAACGGTGGCGATTTTTGCCATCTACCAATTCCTTCCAGATCCGTTTGTGAGGCGAATTTCGTGGCGGATAATGGACAGCAGGAATCGCAAGAACTCACAAGTACCCTCAGATTCACGTGCAATCGCGTGATAACAAGTTGTCTTTAGCCACATAGGCTAACCATATAAGCAGTAGATTGTGTCCTTCCAGAGGAGGAAATCTACTTTTAGACTTATAAAATCAGATTCTCCTCATCCATGGTATCATCGGGGTGAAATGCTGTCAATAAACCTTTTACTTGTTCGTCCCTGCCTGTTGGCATAGTGTGAAATACGACCTGCCTGAAACACGGAGTGTTTTATTTTGTGTCTGTGCTTGACTTTCCATTCAGCATGTGTGAATCTGTGCTGAATTTATCCGGTATGAACTCTTGCGATCAGCTGCGGAATGGAAAGAAGCCGGTGGAAATTAACACATTAACTTGAATGGTTATGATCGGCGGATACGGCCTTTTTGTAGCCATTCCGGATGTGGTGGAAAATTGGTTACAGTACAGTTATGTCAAAGCTGTGGGATGTTTAGCCAATCGGATAGTGTTGTGGGCAGGACATGAGGTGAGGAAAATTGATTATATCAGCACTGGTAATTGGCAAAGGTCAATGATCGGTTGACCCCTTGTGGCAGGTGATCAAAGCTAAAGGAGCCAAAAGGTTTCAGCTACCCAGCTGTGGAGGATTCACTCAACATTTTGGCCAGTTTGGGGTCTGATGAAGACATCCACATGCAAAAAAGAAATCAGTGCACATCTGCATTATTGAGGCCTGATCGTCTGACTAAAGAAAATCCCGCCGGTGCAGTTTTAGTCAGACTAATGTGTTGATTTATAAAGTCAGACTAATGTTATCATTTCAAACATGTAAACATACTGACTGCTGCATGTCTTTGTGCTGAGCTACGCAGATTCAGCTCTTTTGATCGTGCACCTGCAGGATAAAGCCTTTAGTTTCTACTACTGAGCTCCTAAAAAGGGAGTGAATAAAAAAATTCCCCAAAATGTTACAGTCTGAAGTCATGTGAAGAAGCTGTTACAAAACTGTTGTCACAAAAATCCCGCAACACATCCAAACTCAGAGTTCATCACCTCAGTAAGTCCAATCTGAGGTGACTGGTACAAAACGTTCAGCTGAATGAGGTCTGAGCAGTCAATCAGTGCAGCAGAGGTTTCACAGCCCAGCTGTCAGAAAGCTGAGCTTTACCTCTCTCCTTACTCAGCAGAGCAGAAAAAAACACACACTCTTGTCTCTTCATTTCCTCGCTCTTTCTTTACCCTCAGCCTCCCTCTCCTCTGTGATGAATGGAAGGTATGAATTCTCCGCGGCCTCCCCGGGTTTCTCTCTGAGGCCCTCGGCAGCTGAACAAACAACACGCTCTCAACTTAAAGGCGCAATCAGGAATTTATTTGAACCATGTACGTTTTGGGTGTATTTGTGTATGGCCCTGAAGCGCTCAAGAAGGAACACGGAAAATAGATTTTTGTAGAGCTGTCATAACTCAAAACCTGGATCTTTTCCGGCCTACAAACTCTAAAAGTGTAAACAAACCTTTTATGAGGTTCAGACTAAGCAGTTGCACGCTCATTTGTCAAGCTCAGGTAATGAATTTTAATGAATAGAAACCGTCCGCGGCCAAATAAATCATCATGCAAACAAAGGCAGTAACAGGGAAAACTGCTCCGCTCGCAGCTCTGTCTTGAAAACATGTGGGCACGGACACAGAGAGAGGTGGTGGGAAGGAAAGAGAGGCTTGTCGGTCAGGTCTGGAGGGGTGGTCCTGGTCAGGAGTCAGACCCAGCTGCTGTGGCCTATTTATCCACGCCACACCACCGGAGTTTGTGGCGAAGAGCTGGATGAGTTAGCGAGGCAGAGCATGAAACAGAGAGAGAGAGGGAGAAAGAAAGAGTGTGCGAGAGCGGGAGGAGGGGAGATGGATGAGAATGATGAGAAGCAGATGGAGGGTGTGTTTTTTATTTTTTCCTTAAGAGACTATCTGACTGTGACGCAGGTTGAGCCCTCCAGGTGCATTGTGGGTAGCCTGTGTGAAATCATGAGCAGCTTCTTGTGGCTCCAAATTGATCGCGGAGGACTGGCTGCGGTGATGCAGCTGTCTGCGGCGAAGGAAGAGGTATCCAAATCATTAACTTACGCAAAAGAACTAACATCCTACTCAAGGAGGAGCGCAGCTGTACAATCAGCCAAATGTCGGAGTTCTTTCTCCGCATTAAGATGTCCTTTGTCCACTGTTCTTGCCCAGAGTTGGTACGTCCACCTACAAAAATCCGACTTTAATTCCATGCAACAAAAATAAGCCAAAGTGAAGGTCAAACTTGAAGCCTACCGAGGTTTTATTCTGGCACATCTTGCTCTTAAAATTAGGAAGTAAAACTATCGATCAAAAAATGTGGGGCAGGAACAAGCCCAACAGTCTACAGCTGTGGTAGTCCGTCCAAAAGCTATCCTCGAGGGACAGATGTGCTTTGTGCTGATGCTACTGTTGGCCCCGCTAAAACGTCCTTAATGACACCGCGAACACAATTATGTTTGGCTGGTTGGTTCTTCAGGGACCATCTCCAAGGCCTTAACCAGAACTGATGCTCCTCAGAGATTTCCAGACAGTATGATGAAGTTCTTTGGAAATCTAGTGCGTAGACACTGGAGCGTGTTGTGTTTTCTATCCTCATTATCGAGGTTAAGCTCTTAGCTAGCGCTTATTAGTCCAATTATGACACAAAAAACAGATTTTCTGACTTTGGCAATCTACTTTTTTGACATTTGGATGTAAGGTTGTGTTGCTAAAGGTAGGAGTGACCAGATACAACTTTTTTACTTCCAATACGATACCGATATTGTAGCTTTCAGCCGCTACTGATATTGTTCCGATAGTTGGACAAACTTGTGTATGACAAGTTTTGCATTCAGCTGCAATGTCTTTTTCGGAATTTCACGAAAAATACTGCTACACTGCTGACATCACTCCTACTCCTTGCTACTTTGTTAGTACCTTAGTACACACTTTTGTTGTGATCATGCGGGCTCTACATGCTGGATCTGGGCGCTGCTAGATAGAGGTGCCGGAGCGGAGTCTGGAATGGACTGCTTGTATTGGAGTGCTGATATCAGAGATTTTAGATGCAACGTGACATAATCTGATATTTGTTTTTTATGCTGATATCGGACCGATATCGGCTCTGCATGCTGGATCCGGGTCCTGCTAGCTTGAGGTGCCGGAGTGGAGTCTGGAATGGACTGCTTATATCAGAGTTTTACTATTGGAGATTTTAGATGCAGGGTGATATAATCTCATATTTGTTTTTTGGCTGATATCGGACCGATATCGGCTCTTCATGCTGGATCCGGGCGCTGCTAGCTAGAGGTTCCGGAGTGAAGTCTGGAATGGACTGCTTGTATCGGAGTGATATCGGAGATTTTTGATGCAGGCCGATATAACTCGGTATTTGTTTTTTGGCTGATATCGGACCAATATCGTATTGGGACAGTCCTAGTTAAAGTTCCTTTTTCTTGTCTTCTGGCCACTTAAAGCCCTTTTACATCACATGTTACATTCACCCATTCACACACTGATGGCAGAGGCTGCTAATGTGTAGAGAACAGCGTGTGCAGGTGAGGTCAAGTGTCTTACCTAAGGACACTTCAGCACAAGGAACAAACAAGTTGTTTTGGGACTCACTGGCTTTGACTCGTGTCCATCATCTTGGTCCAAGGACGTCTCTTGGATTCTCGTTTGGAGTCTAAAAGGTAAACCGAAACGGTGCCACGGGAAATTTGTTGAAACAAAAATGTGCTCAACTTCCAGAGACCATTAATTCATGTTTATCCCTTCAACAGCTGTCAGATTAAGTATCGGCACTGCAATCACAGAAGTGTAACCACCAGCGAAGATAAAAAAGTGTAGTATTTCCTCTTAATCTGGTAGAATTAAGTATAAATTCGTATAAAATGGAAAAACTTGAGTACCAGAGCGTCAGTACTGTATTTATGAAGTACTTGTGGAAATGTACTAAGTTACTTTCCACTGCTTCCAGGCAGAAAGCTGAGGCTGCTCAGCGAGATGATGTGAAATACACAGTAGAGCGCTGGAGGCCTGACAGCTCCTTAACGATCTGCAGGCTGTGTTATTCGACTGGTCTTCACTCCCCCCACCCACCCACCTCTCTGCAGACTGCAGCAGCCAGAACATTCCTCACACATCTGGCCCCCGAGTCTTTCCCAAACGCTCCCACTCCTACCACTTCGTGCCATAATTACCCACAAGCCCTGTGTTCTCCTTTTCTCTTTTCTCTTTTTATGAACCTCAGCCCCCCTCCTCAACTGGAATCATAAAAGCGTGGAGCACACAAACGTCATTTATAGTCATGATTTAGAAGAAGAGAGGGCTTTCTGCTGTCCACTGAAATGTGCCATCCAGAAATATGCTTTACTCTCGGCCGGTTGTGTGTGTTTCCAGGACTTATAAAAGCAAGACAAACATAATGAATCAGTTACCCAGTTTGAGCCGCGCTTTCTTCCCGAGATAGTTGTTTGCCCCTCGAGAGGTCTGTGCTGTTTTGAAGCCGCCCAGTAAAGCAGGATTCAATGAGTGGGAGTGGGAACAAGGACAGTTTCCAACGATCGTACACGTCTTACAGGCCTGTGCGCTTTCCAGTGATGGAAAGTAACCGGGTTTACTCACACAAGTACAGTTTTAAGGCTTAGAAACTTTGACCTCTCTTAAAAACTGATGTTTCATGTTGCTTCACACTCAGATCATCATTTTAATTTCTACACCAGATGTGTTTAACATCTCGCACCTCAAAATCCAAATATGGATCAGCTGAAAACACTTGTGCTTGGATGCTGAACACAGAGCTACACTGCAAGACTGCTGAGTCACTTTCATGTGATTCAGCACACTAATCAGTATTTTTAGATTACAGCCTATGTCAATAATCAATACTGGCTGATATGATCATTTGTGCTGATATCAAGATGCATTAATCATGAGCACATGCACAATAACAACAAGGTTCAAGAGTCAAGGACAGACAGCAAAATGGACGTTTTCAGCACATGTGATGTCTTGGTTCAATGTCTGCAGACACTGCAGGCAGTCTGTTTGGCAGCTGCCACATGTCTCCTTCAAGGATGGTAAGTATTCCCATCCTAAAACGACAGCAGACCAAATCTAGAAGTTACTGACTCGTTACAAATTACACAGATATGTCAAGTTCTGAAATCTGAAGCAAATACGTCAATTTTCTAACTTCAGGATTTGATTAGAAATCCATCTAAAGGATGTTTTTAACTTCAGTTACCATGTGAATCAGATTGAAATGTGCATGGGATAATTGGTGCCAGTGGTTGGAATTTATGAAATGCATAAAACAACATTAAAGGGATGTTGGCATTATATATCGGTGATTAGCATACCTGCTCTGTTGTCATGAAAGTCGGTATCTGCCGTTAAGACGCTGGTACCAGTCCACCACTAGTCTATTTCTCAAACCAATAGACCTTCATAATCAGAGTGAGTTTTCTATAAAGAAAGTGGTTTGTTTAAATCAACATTTAGATCTGTATTGGCCAAAATGAGTGTGAAAATACCACTACAGATCATGACTGGGTGGCCAACAAATAACCGTTTCCCTCTTCCTTTCCCTTCCTGCTCTTAGAAGAGCCGCAGTCTTGATCGACGCCGCTGTAATTGATCCAGTAAATGTAGGGTTTGTAAGCTTCAGTATCCACATCTCTCACTTTGTTGTAAAGGCCTGGATCCTCTTTGTCTTCAGACACCTGACAGGTCCATAAAACATGTTGTGGTAAACCACCAAACCACAGGAGAACGCTGCTTATGCAACACAGTAAGAAAATTCCTACATGTACCGTAATCTGTTTGTGTTGCTTTAACGTGTCCTTACACTTAGCCCCTCCACCTTTTGTTTTGTGAGAGAGAGCGGACGCGGGGATCAGAGGTTGACGGCATGTGGGGTCGCTCAGCGCTGATGCGTCTGTGAAGGGGCCACATGTCTGAGCGTCCTCAGGAAGCGAAGGGCGCATGCAAGGGGGCGCGCATACAGGAAGGAGCTTTGTTGTCGCTCCCTGCCAGGAAAGAACTATTGTTAAAAGTACCCGGTCGTGTTTTTTATCTGAAGGCACTGTTTACTCCTGCTTTGTCTGTCCTCTCAGGCCCCGCGCTCCTGTACCTCCCACCGCTGGCTCTCAGCCACACATTTGTCTTGCAGGTCTTGTGTTTTTTTTTTCAGATAGTGGCTTACTTTCACACTGTGGGAACAATTGTTGCGACACTTGAGTGCCTGCTATCTGAATTGGATTAAAGGTTTGTTTGGAGCTGGATAACACCCGCCAGAACTGATATGGTGGGAATACATAGGAGGTAAACGTCTTGAGACAATACCTGTAAATGTTGAGGTGAGGGTGAGGAAGTGGAGTCAGATAATAAAACAGAGAATAGAAAGTAGAAGTTAATTCGAGCGAGAGCTTTCAGATCCTTAAACGGCCCGTGTAAAGCAGTAACCTTGGCATTGAAGGCTCCTATCTTGTTTTCGTTCTGATAAACCAAATCGTCCCGTGAGGAAAGAAATCAGACGCTCCTCATTGTCCTTTTTTTTTTTTTTCCATGACACTCAAAAACCTCTGAACTTCAAAAGACAAAAGTTTCCCTCGCTAACGGGTGCTAAACAGATTTATGACCACTAACTGAAGAACTGGTTCAACACCTCCATGCTTCATTTGTTTTATTTGAGGAACATTTCATTGTTCCATGTGGCTCCTGTTAGTTTGGTTTTAACTCCAAAAGACTTCTCGCAGTTTGGTGCTGAAGGGGTCCAAGTCTCTGTCTTTGCATCAAAAAAAAAAAACACGATCTGGTCTGAGTTAGAAAACACACATTAAGAGCCGAGGATAATCCTCTTGTTTATCTAATTCAGAACATTTGATACGTGCTTTCATAGCTCGTGTTGTTGCTGCGGTGGAAGAGTTCGATTTAGAGTCTCTTCTCTGGGTAAAAACAAAGGTAATGTGGCATCGCTTTACTGAAAAAATATGCTTTTGTCAACATCACTCCCGTCCAAAGAACATATCTTGCTCGCAGTGCGCCCCCTCCTCCCCTGAAGACTCTCCAATGACATTCTTTCTTCTTTTTTTGACCATCAGACTGTACGCCCGGCGGCCCTGCAGCGCTGCTCTCCCTTTCTCAAATCCCCCTCAGTCTGCCTTCAATAGAAATGGAAATTTGAGGCCCTCCCCTCCCGCGGCTCCCCCGTCTCCTTGCTCCACTCCCCTAGAATGAGCCAGGATGTTTTGAGAAGTGGGATATTACTCCTAATGGATTCCAAACACCACAAAAGTTTATTAGGAAGCAGGGCATCGTAAAAGGAGGAGGTGGGGGCGAGCAGGAGAAGAGGGTTGGGGGGGGACGTTGTGTGGGAGATTGGGTCGTTTCGATTTTGTTTTTAAGAAGTTTTCATCTTTATTCCTCTCTGCTGTCGGGAAGTAACATTAAGCGGCTTTAACTGAATGACTCAGGCTGTATTTTTAGTACAGCCAGGTGCTTTTAAGGCTTTTTTTTTGTTCTGACAGCAGTTTCAAAAGCGTGACGAATGCAAATCAAATGACAACATCTGTCTTACTTTGTGCAAAAATATAACCTGTGGCTTTTTCAGACCCCAAGTACTGCTACATACTAGTTTAAAAACCAATGAATACCCTTAACCCTCCTTGAAAAATGGGATGTACCAATTCTTGGAACTAGGGATGGGAATTGTTCGGAATTTAGCGATTCCGATTCCATTATCGATACGATTCCTAATCGATTCTCATAGAGTGAGAAATAAGACAATACAAATATGTTTGTTTGCATTAACTCTTTAATATTGTCACCTTTGGACAGAAGATATGGCATATCCATGCACTAATAATTTGTTATGTGACCTTCCCTTTGACCACAAATCTGGTCACAGCGTTTATCTTCGCCTCTGTCATTTTACTCTTCCCTGCCTTGATGAAACGGGCTGCCAAAGGTGTGCGATAGCTACCCTACCCTGCAGCCTCTGAGCTAGCATGACTCTGGCAGTCATCGTCATCTAAATGTAATTTAAGGAAATGGTATTTATATATAGAGAAAGGGGTTAAACATGGCGCTAACATCTACACAACAGACAGGACCTGGAGGAGTTAAACGTTACCTTGATGACGCCAAGATGTTAGCTCTGCTCCTGCTTTTGCCTGTACCACTCTCGCCTTCGCTAAGTAGTGTATCAAACGCGTTACACTTCCGCAAATTAATTGCATGCTAGGTGGACAAATTTTCCACATATCGGAAGTATTTCCCCTCTTCGACGAAATTAAAGCTTTGCAAGTGTTGCAAGTAGTCCTGGTATCACCTTTTCGTGTGAAATACAGCCCAACTCTGGAGTGCTTTTGCCTTGACGCCATGCTGGAAAGTTCTGATCCAAAACACACTTCTCACGTACTACGTCGGTGGAACCGATAAGCAGAATCTTTAAGGAGGCAGACGAACAATTCCTAGAGATCGAATCACTGGGAACCGCTTCTAAAAAAAGAACTTAAGCATTCATATTTCAGGATGTTTTTCCATCTTGAATATTCTCATCGTCAACAAATCTTCTCAAATATCCTAAAAGGCAACACCAACAATCAACGGCTTATCTCTTTGAGTCATAAAGTTTCATCACCCTGCTTTAAAACAGTCAAATACACAGTTCTACTTGTTTCCAAATGACCCTTTGTACCGCTGATCTAAAAACTCGACACGCTCCACATTTGTATCAGATCTGTGCTAAAACTAGCTCAGAACAAATGTGGAGTAATAACTTATTTCAGTAGGAACAGGATGAACCCTTTGGTGACATTTCAAAGCGGTCATATGGTCCCTGTTCAAAACATTTGGTAACCACTGCTTTCAATCAAAAATATTGTCTGTCAACCGTGTTTTTAAATGTGGTCATGTGTTAAAGAAATACAGCAAACATTCGAAACACATGATGCTTGTTTCTGGTTCTCAAGGTGGATCTCATCAAACCACACATGGTCACCATGACCTTTGTTAGTTCTCGAGCGAGAGACGCAGAGGAAGACTTTGATGAAGGGAAAAAGTTAATTAGATAACACAATAAAAACAGGATAATGTAGGAAATACGCTTACTTAATGTTGAGGTCTGTGATCGAAGAGGTGGAGAGCTCGGTTGGATACTCAGACGGGACACAAACACTGTTTTATTTTAATACTTGTACACTGAGCGATAAATAATCCTTAATAATTATATAATATTTGAAGTGCTGATGTTGGTTTTTCTACATC